CAAAAGAAATTATTCATCTGGAAGAACAGTTTAATAATAGTCTTTTGCTCTAGTAAAGAGTCTTCTGTAGAGAGGAGATCGGGCCCAGCTGTTCTTAATCTACACCGAGGCCAGGCCTGGGGTGAAGAAGAGGAAAGAAAAAAAAAAGTTAAACTGTAACAGAAGGTATAAGAAAGAATTTTCTGATGATAAGAATTGTTAAATATTGGATTGGTTAGAGAGTGTGTTAAGTCTTCTTTCCTGGCAGCCATTAAAAATTCCTGTCTTTACTAACTGTACTTAAGTATGATTCCTCCAGAAATGAGGGATTTGAGATCAGTGATTGCTCTCAGAAGCCAGTCTCTCTGACCAGTTTCTTCCTGCATACAAGTAAGGAACGTGAAACGAGAGAGCTGCCCTCAGACTGCAGTTTATCAGCAGTGTTCAGTCTGAACATTGATTCACTACCAAACTCCTCCCTACACCACGTGTGAGTTCAGCAGACCTTTACTGAGCAACCGCCACAGCTGGCCCATCTTGGCAGTAAGTTCTCTAAAGATTACCAAGAACTGGTTGTGACTCAGATACCTGAAGATACATAAGTTGGCACAACTGGCCCTCTTAACACACACCATAAATTTCATCTGCTACTCAACTGAAATGAAGAGGGAAACGGCAGCATACTCCAGCATTCTTGCCTGGAAAATTCCACAGAAGAGCCTGATGGGAGCCCGTGGGCTCGCAAAGAGTCGAACACTCCTGAGACACAGCGCACAGCTGAAAAAGTTGCCGATCCATCCGGTTCAGTAGGCGCGATGGGGTGACGGGAGAAGGCCGAAGTGTTGGCGTTGAGGTCCAGCACAGCCTGAGCTCTTCAAGAGTACTTTGACAAACAAGAGAATTTCCTTTATCTTGTTGACCACAGAGTACAAAACCTGGGAAGCATGCTGAGTTGTCCAGACTGTCACAGGAGAGGAGTTGTGTATACCATGTTTTCACCTATCCTGAGCGATGATAGAATTTTGCATGAGAAGTGAGTTAGGTGTCAGAGTCTCTGTGGACGGCAGGTACCTTGAGAAGCAGCTGTGAGGCAGTTTCCCTTTGCTAGTTTACGGTTAAGTTCGGGAAAGGTGTGTGCAGACGACGGATGAGGACTCCAGCATATGGCCCAGGCAGCTGCTGCTATAGTTAAAAGTGGTGACAGTGGGAATTGGAGAGAGAATTGTGAAGCAGAATGTTCAAATAGGGTTGCAGTGTACTTGAGGGTGGCAGGAGGAGATGGTAGAAAAGGTAAGTGTTCCGGGTACGTGAGAAAAGGCATAGAGGCAGGACCGAAAGAGAGTCAGTTAAAATTTCTTTGGTTTTGCCTGGTGATCCAGTGGTTAAAACTTTGCCGTCCTCCAACCCAGGGAGTGCAGTTCCATCCCTGGTCAGGAAGTTAAGATCCCACAGGCCTCTGAGCCAAAAAAAAAAAAAAAAAAAAAAACCCATAAAATAGAAGCAATAATGTAACGAACTCAATAAAGACTTTAAAAAATTATCCACATCAAAAAAATCTTTTAGAAGTAAAATAAAGACTTCAGTGAATAACTGATTATATAGTTACTAAGAAGGACACAGAATTGGGCTAGACTAGATCTAAGAAGTTTGTGCTTTATCCTGGGGTCAGTGAGGTAAGAGATTTGGTAAATCTGAACAAATAATTTTATAGATTTTGGTTTGCCTATGAGGTTTTTTAAGTGATGTTTGAGGTTTTGTTTTGTTTTGTTTTGTTTTTCCTTAATTACATTTCTTAAATTCATCAGGGTCTCTTCCAGTGATTTGGCTCTTTGCATCAGGTGGCCACAGTACTGGAGCTTCAGCTTCAGCATCAGTCCTTCCGATGAATATTCTGGGTTGATTTCCTTTAGAATTGACTAGTTTGATCTCCTAGCTGTTCAAGGGACTCTCAAGAGTCTTCTCCAGCAACAGTTCGAAAGTGTCAGTTCTTTGGTGCTCAGCCTTTATTATGATCCAGCTCTCATATCTGTACTTGACTACTGGTAAAAACATAGCTTTGACTATATGGACCTTTATTTAATTACATAAATGATAAGTTTAAAGAAGACTTTAAATTGCATAAAATGTGAGAAAAATAATCACTAATGATTTTTTTTGCATAAATATTGAAAGTCTTTCTCTGTTGAGATAGTGCTGAAGTTTTATGCACTTTTATGAACTTTATTCTCAAAGTTTCATCTTTGAGAATCTTGCAGTACCGTGTAATTCTGCTGCTGCCTGACTTGTCCATCCATTTGCCTGCTTCCTTATGCAGACCCAGGTTGGCGTCTTCATCTTTGCATTCCAAGCACCTGCAGAGCTAGGATACACTGATGCCCATAAACTTTGTAAAATCTCTGAGTGGTCTCAGTCTCACAAGGACTGCATAGTAGCAAAAAGAGAAAACTGCATCAGGGTGAGATCTGTAAGAGCCTCTGCAGATCTATGGGCGATAACCAAGCAACAAAGGTAGGAGGACTGGCATGCCGCATTGAGCTGTGTGGGTGATAGATATCCCCACAAAACCATGAATTTTGCCTGGAAGTGGACTAGCCCAGTAATTTGCAATATCACCAGGGAACTTGCTAAAAATGCAAATTATTGGTGCCCATTCCAGAGGACATCAGAAACTCTGGAACTGAGGGGCACAGTCTAACAAGTCCTACATGTGATGGTGACTAATGCTCAAGTGTGAAGGCCACTAGACTACAGGCACGGAGAGAGAACAGGACTGTGATACACAGACCCCAGCAGAGAAAGATTGAAAGGTCAAAGGTTGGTGATGGCAGTGAATGCGACCCATGAAATGCCACAGTGACTGGAGAAGGAAACCAGGGGAATAAGATTATATTGTACAAAGAAAGTTGGATGTGCTGTGAATAGGCAGGACCTGCCTATCTTTAGACAACTGTCTTCCTGATCTTAGCATCTAAATAGATCAAGTAGATTTAAAATAGATCAGTCCCATCAGAGGGGCTCACACAAAATCTCCTCCTCAAATCTCTCTCCCATATATCCTCAGAACTTCCGACTGAGCATTTCCACTTAGCTGTCTCATAGGGGCCTCAGCTCTCTAAAACAGCCCAGATTTATTATCTTTCCCTTCAAACCTATATCTCTGCATATGTTTCCTATTTCAGAGAATTGGACTACCATCCATTCCATTACTCAAGTCAGTTATTCTTGGCTTACTTCTCACTGAGTCGTGTCCATCCTTCCACCTCCTAGCTTTCAAAGATACCTATTTTTCTCCATCCCCACTGATACCCTTCTAATTTAGACCATCATTAGTTTCTCACTAAATCATGTTAACAGTCATCTTAATTGGTCTCTCTGCCTCCAGTCTTTCATTCTCTAATCCGTTCTCCATGTGGCCAGAACTCGCTGTTTAAAGTGCAGAGTTGATTGGTTCTTTCCTTACCGTTCTACATTGTCTCCCCATTACCTTCTTGGTAAAATACAGCCTCCTCAAGTTGGCTGTTAATGCCTTTAGCATCAGTCTTTCACTTTCCTTTCCAGCCTGATCTTTTATCCTGGCTCCTCCCATCCTTAGCACACGCTGTTCCCTCTGTAGGAGTGGTTTTCTTACTTATCTTTACCCCCCTGACACTGCTGATTCTTCAGGTGGCTACCTTCAGGAGATCTTTCCTCTTCCATGAAGGCTTCTTGGACTTTCTGAGGTCTAATTGTAAGCACAGTGTTCTTCAGTTCCCCTTGCACATCACCTTTCACATCTTGTAATTGCCTATTTATAATTTTCTGCAGTACACTCTTGCTTCATCCCTCTTCCCAGTCACTTGATTATGATCTCCACAAGGGTTGGGACTGGGTTCTCCCATTTTATCATGGGCTTCTGACACATTCATTGGGAAAAAGCCGGTGAGCAACAAACATGTTGAAAGATGTGGTAGTCAGCTGTCGAGATATGGTAACTCAAAATCGTTTGAAAGGTTATTGGGTGGGAATTTGTATTTTCTACCACTCACCCACTCCAGAGTTTCATCCTGTTCCTTGTTCCACTCGTCTCAAATTTGTGGGAAGCATTCTCTATACCATGCACTGGGCTATTTGCTAAGAATCAGCTGTAAAAAGACTCAGTCTTTGCCATAGGCTTTATCCTCTAGTGGAGGAAATAGACAATTGAAAAGTAGTTTATATACAGTAGGGACATAAAATCATGAAAGAGGAAGGACAGAGAGACAGAACTTTCTTTCTAGCTAAAGAAACAGCTAGAGAGGCAGCTAAATTAGAAGTGGTCCCTAAGCTAGTACTTAAAAGCTTAGTTGTTTAGTCACTGAGTCACAACCACCTCTTTTGCAACCCCGTGGACTATAGTCCACCAGACTCCTCTGTCTGTGGGGTTTCCAGGCAATGTGAGTTCTCCAGTTAGAGAATGGGAGCAGATTGTTCCAGGTGAAGGGAGCAGACAACAAATGTCCAGTAGTGAACAAGAGAAGGGAGCACTTGATAACTAGAGGGTGAAGCTTGAGGAAAGCAGCCTTGGGGGTCCACTTGGGAAGGCTTGTGTTTTCAAAGTATGGCAATGTGGGACAGGCCTTGAAGGAGGCAAAAGGGAAGACAAACCCATCAGATATCACCCAGTAGGGAGCTCAGAGCAGCCAGAATGAGGAAAGGCTGGGAGGGGATAGAGTCATGAATGGATTAAAAAAATGAAGGGGGACTCTGTCCTGAGCCGTTTCTTCCTTTCCCTACAGCTCTTGGCTAGTGTGACGCAGGGGTTTCACAGAATGCCTGTCTCCTCTGTCCATTGTCACGTGTGTGTCACAGTTTTGCAGCTCTAAGTTGGGCAGACAGTACAAGATTGCGACTGTTGGATGATTTCTTTTTGTGTGGGGGGGAGTTCAGTTCTGGGGCAAAATGAGGATTGCGGCCCGGGAGACAGCATTTTAGATAGCTCTGAGAAACTGCTCCGTCAGTGATGGTTTCTAATTGTACTTTTTCCTAGAGACCTTCAGAGAGGCATGGCTTCCAGAGATGAGAGTGCAGAGCGGACAGACAGAGTGCTGAGAATCAGCCAGTTGGATGCTCTTGAACTAAACAAGGCCCTGGAGCAGCTCGTTTGGTCCCAGTTTACTCAGTGCTTTCATGGATTTAAGCCAGGGCTGTTAGCCCGCTTTGAACCAGAGCTGAAAGCATTCTTGGGGCTTTTCTTGTGGAGATTCACCATCTACTCTAAAAATGCCACAGTGGGACAGTCAGTGTTGAATATTCAGTACCAGAACGATCTATCCCCAAATCTGAGCTACCAGCCACTGAGCAGAAATCAGAAGCTGTGGTATGCTCTCTGTACTATTGGTGGCAAGTGGTTAGAAGAACGATGCTATGATTTGTTTCGGAACCATCACATTGCATCCTTCAGGAAAGCCAAGCAGTGTGTGAATCTGGTGGTTGGACTTCTGAAGTTAGGCGGGTTGATTAATTTCTTGATCTTCCTCCAAAGGGGCAAGTTTGCAACTTTGACCGAACGTCTGCTGGGCATCCGTTCTGTCTTTCACAAGCCCCAAAGTGTCCGAGAAGTTGGCTTTGAGTATATGAATAGGGAACTCCTCTGGCACGGCTTTGCGGAGTTTCTGATTTTTCTCCTCCCCCTTGTCAATGTCCAGAAGTTGAGAGCCAAGCTGTCTTCATGGTGTGTCCCGCTGACCGGAGCCCCAGGCAGCAACAGCACGCTGGCAGCCAGTGGCAGACAGTGTTCTCTGTGTGGGGAGTGGCCCACCATGCCTCACACCATTGGCTGCGGGCATGTCTTCTGTTACTACTGCGTGAAGAGTAGCTTCTTATTTGACATGTCCTTCACTTGTCCCAAGTGTGGCACAGAAGTCCATAGCCTGCAGCCCTTGAAATCGGGCATCGAGATGGCAGAAGTGAGTGTCCCATAGAAACTCAAGTTGGTTCCTCCGAGAACCGTATTATGTCTAACTCCTTAGCATGAGTCATCCTGAGTGTACTACTTAGATATGTTTTATGAGGACATGTGCTTCTCAGCCACTGCCTTCTGTTCCTTCCCAGGCACAACTACATTCTACTCGCACTGGAAACCACATGATCCTAAATATGTGATATAAATGGTAACATGCTATTTTTTTTATCATTGTGTTTAATTTTTAACGTCAAGAATAATGGGCAGTTTTTTGTTTTTTGTTTTTAAACAAATGACCACTAAGAATGCTCCATTCTGCCACTTCTTGGAAAGAGGTGAGACTAAAAATAAAAGACTGGAAACTCTGGGCTGAGGGTGCATTTATTTTCAGAAATGACACCAGAACATTATACAGTAACAAGAGTAAGATCTGTTGTTTGAAACTTTCAGACCCAGTGTCCCAATTGTAAGCTTTTCTCTGAAGCCAGCTTTTAAGGGGTTCTTTCTGCTTCATTCTCAGGGCTAATGACAGCCACCAGAGGCTCAGGACTTCCATCCTACCAGCTTCCTGATCCCTCTAGCCAAAGAGCTTCTCGCCTAATAGTCTGGCAAAATCCAGGAGCCCACAGTCATTGGTCAGCCTGAAGTTGTGTACACATTCCTAAACCATGGTGGAGAAATACCAGTCCCAGTCCCTCAACTGTGGATGATGCACCCTCACAAACACCCCAAGAACCTAACACAGGACAGGATCAGCTGAGCACAGGTGCTAGTTAGGAGCATGGTGGCCACTAGGCCGGGGAGAAGCGATACATCTTGACCAGTCTCCGTTTGCCCTCTATCCTGGAGGTCTACTCCAGCCTCTTAATTTTACCAGTGATCTAATCTGACAAGTACATTACTAAGCAGCTGAATGGTCATCTTAGACTGTAGATTTGAAAGGATGAAATAAGGTCAACAAGATTTTGTTCTACCAACAATTTTGTTACAGTGTTATTTTGATAGCAGTTTCCGAGCAGGTGTCCACATTATAATTTTAACATGAAAACACAACACACATGCTAACAGTTGTCAGTATTATGGATGGGGGCAGATACTTTCTACAGACCTTCATGGCACTTAGTACAAGACATATATTTTTTAACATCTGCCACCCCCACTAAGAGATAACCCCCCATGAGGTCAGAGACTGTAGCTCTTCTGCCAACCACTGGGTAGCCAGACCCTGCCGCTTGTTCCTGGGTACCAAGACAGACATCTTTGAGCCAGTGACGAAACCTATCACATTGGGTTCTGTGGTGGGGAAGGGTTTGAAGTGCAAGATACTAGGGAATCCATGCCTGTGAACGGAAACGGTGAAGAGCAGGAATAAGCTGACGGAACCTTGTCCACCCAAGAGGAGAGCCCTGGAGCATTTTGAAGGCCTGGATGTCCTAGGTGGAGCCAGAGCAGTTAGGCTTTTGACCTCCACCTGTCAGATGCTGGCGGTGGCCACGCAGGAGGGCATGACCTCAGGCCTGGCAGCTCTGTCCCCAAGGCAGCCTGCTGCCCTGATTCCCCCCACACACAGCTGGGCCGGAAAGCCATTCCTAAAAGAAGGGCCAGCTGGGTATCACACCTGACCCTGTCTCTCCATCCTTTTTCTTCATAGTTTCCCACATTTGTTTTTCCTGCCTGTGAGGATTCTTGGCAAAGAGCACCCTGAGGGCAGCTGGTGTGCAGCTTCTTGTCGGTGGGCGACGTGAACACTGAGGGCCGCCTGAGGGAGCCTCCCCTCGCCCCAGGGACAGGCCTGCTGGCCAAGCTGCAGTGAGCCCAATGCCACCGAGTCCCTGCTGCCCCTGCTGGCAGGGGACCCGGGTGAACCCTGGTGCTTCCGTTCCCACTCCCCAGTGGCTTCAGGGCTCCAAGTTCATGACCACTGGGTCGAATCTAGCTACATCGTATGTTTCCACTTTAGCGTTCAGAACCCAGTATTCAGCCCTGAGTGTCCTCCTTTGGGAAAATAACTTCTCCACTAACATTTTTCTTCTCCCTCCTGTGCAGCCTGTTCTCAAGTCAGGTTTGCTCCTTGTGAGTTTGCTGTGTCCAGGTGGCTTCAGTGACCAGACCTGGAAGACATCAGTCCAAGGGAACACAAGCCATGACCTGTTCCCTCATTCTCAGCTCCGCTGCCTTCAGCACTTCGTGTCCGTGAGGTTTGGACAAGTTTATTTAACTTCCTGAGTTTCAATTTGCCCAACCTATGAAATGGACATTCAGTCATTTTGACCTCTTAAGCCTGTAACAGTCTTCCCTGGTGGTCAGACGGTAGAGCGTCTGCCTGAAATGTGGGAGACCGGGGTTTGATCCCTGGGTTGGGAAGATCCTCTGGAGAAGGAAATGGCAACCCACTCTAGTACTCTTGCCTGGAAAATCCCATGGACAGAGGAGCCTGGTGGGCTACAGTCCGTGGGGTCACAGAGTCAGACACGACTGAGTGACCTCACTGAGACTGTAATGGGGAATTAAATAGCATATCATTCTTTCAAAAATTATTTCTCAAGGCCCTACAGGCATTCTTCGGTACTCAGAGATGCATTCATGAATAAAACAAAACCCTGGCTTTCATGGAGTTTACATTCTTGGAGGGGTGATAGACAATAAACACATGTTGTAAGTTCGTTTCAGATGTTAGAATACTCGGAGAAAAATAAAATAGACTAAGAGAATGGAGAGTGACAGGGATGCTGTATTGAGTTACATGCTCCTGGAAGTCCTCTCTGAGAAGCTGAAGTTTGAAGAGATCTGAATGAAAAGAGAGAGAAAGCCAAGCAGAGGAAGGGTGCCAGGATAAGAAAATGGCAAGTATCCCACGTCTCAGATGAGCATCCATTACCTGTTCTGAGAAAGCAAGAAATCAGAGCGAGCAAGATTGGAACATGAGGCAATGAGACGAGGGGATGCCGGGCCAGCCCATGCAGGCCACGGTGAAAAAGTACCTGAATTTATTCCAAGTATGAGATTTTTCTAGTGGCTGAGACAGTAAAGGATCTGCCTGCAATATGGGAGACCCGGGTTCTATCCCTGGTTTGGGTAGATCACCTGAAGAAGGGAATGGCAACTCACGCCAATAATCCTGCCTGGAGAATTACATGGACAGAGGAGCCTGGCAGGCTACAGTCTGTGGGATTGTAAAGAGTCAGACATCACTGCGTGACTTTCAGACACACATTCTAAGTATGAGGAAACCACCGGAAGACTTTAAACCAAGAAATGGCATCAAACACATTCTTTTAAAGGATCACAATGACTGATGTGTGTAGAGTTATGAGTAAAAGCAAGAAAACCAGTTCAAAGTCTACAGCAAATAACAAGCCACAATTGTTACGATTTCTATTAGGCTTGTGGTACATTAACAGCATCACCCTCTGAAATGGTCACAGACATGGAAACCAGCAAAGCCATGAGAAACTAAAATAGATGTTGATAGATTTCATGCACCAAAGTTCTACCTATGGGGTGGTTCCTTGAATCCCCATTTAGAGGCTGCTTTCTTTTAACTAGATTTCTGTGAACTTTCACCAACAGGTGAAAACTAAGAGATGCGAGACAGAGGACACTGGTAAAACGCAGGCCTGTTTACAATAACAAGAAATAATAGAAAACTTGATATCAATGGGAAAAAAGAACTTAAAAACCAATCTGGTAATATTTAGAGTGGGGACCCATGGACTTTGAAGAATAACTGAATAGTAATTTTGGCTTGGAGCTTCCCAGGTGACTCAGCAATAAAGAACCTGCCTGCCAGAGCAGGGCATGCAGGTTTGATCCCGGAGTGCAAAGATCCCATGGATAAGGAAATGGCAACCCACTCCAGTATGCGTGCCTGGGAAATCCCATGGACAGAGGAGCCTGGCGGGCTACAGTCCATGGGGTCACAAAAGAGTAGGACACGATTTAGAGACTAGACGACAACAACGGCAAAATTGTGGCTTAAAAATGACCTTAGATCATTGATAAAAACTACCATATAATCTGCATCATTTGATTAAGGAGGCAATGACATTAGCATTGTTTTATTTGAAGAAGCCTTCAAAATGTGTTGGTACTCAAAGCAAAAACTTGATTCATTTGGAACATTTGCTTTTAAAAAGCTGTTTTTCCTAACAGCACTCCCTAAGTGAAATGTTACTCTATTAAGAAAAGATATTTTCAGCAACAGAACAATTCCAAACAGACTTTTTAGCCAAGCCAATAGGCCATATTGTCTATAGAACTGATGCTCCATGGTTCTCTGCAGCTAAAATTACTGTGTAGAGTAAATTTATATTCATCACCACCAGTAAGTTGGCAAGTATTTCGAGTGTATTTTTTTTTCCTTCAAAGAGTATGTAAATCATGTAACAAGACAGAATAGGCCTTTATGTTTGCAGGTCATCTCTTATTTTTTCTCGATTTTTTAAAAAAAAATCTTATGGTTTTTAAAATGTCATTTTAAAAAAGGAAGCACCATTTTGAGCAAGGGCCTTCATGGAAACCTGTCTTTGAATTGTTCTTCTGGCAATTAAAACAAGTCAAATGAGGTTAAACCAAGTCACTGCTGAAGCCAGGAAATCCAAGTGTACAGTATTCAGTGGATAGTACTCTTCTTTCCTTCTCAGCAGTAAAGTAAATTCACATTAACAGGTTTTGGATCATGCCACTACTGAATTCCCCAAACCAATAAAACATAAATCTATTGAGGTAAAGCTGAATTTAAAATCGAATGGATATGGACATGTTTATACCATTGACTTTAAGAATCTGTCTCAAGGAAACAATAAGATTTTAGATGTAGATTTATTTAAATGATGTTCAATATAGCACTATTCATAATAATAACACAAATGTTCAAAAATAAGGAAATGAGTAAAATGGTATAGCTGTTTAATAAGTCAGTGTTATAAATACCATGGGAAAAAGTTTATGTAAAAATATACCCAAATAATCTTATTACATGGGAACATGCTTACAGTATACTATTAAAATGAAAGAAGG